TGCTTAATTATATTAAACAGAAAATTTTCTGTATTTTAATTATTAATTTTAATTAACTTCTGTACAACAAATGAATCAAATGACAGTACTTCTTAGTAATATTTACTATTGCCTACAGGTTTATCGAAATGGTTTGCAACTAATTTTTGTTTTTTAGTAAAATTGCAATAGAAGACATTGCAACTTATAAACAACTCCAGCGATGTACAGCTTTAATGTAAACACTCCAACTTTCAAGCCGGCATTTAGGCACGTCAAGCATAAAAAGTGGAACAACTGTAGAATCTCAAACATAAATTTTCATATAAATATTTTCTGAGTGACAGAATTTCCTATAAATATTTTTGATTATTTTGATATAAGAAGCATGACAAGTCATACTTCATATATCAAAACACTTTGGAGATTTTCTGGTAAAATGTAAATAGAGAAGACGAAATTGAAGAAGTTGCAAGGGACTATGCATTGATTATTTTTATTGTTTCGAATGAACGGATGAATTATTATGTTGATTGACTTTATAGATCAACGAACTCTCTCTCTCTCCTCGTTTGTTTGTATCCAAACTCGTTAACATTCTGTCAATATAAGTTTAGAATAAACTTAATGTTGTGAATTGTTGAACTTCCTAATGTATCTTTAAACTAAATGTAGGAGAATCAGAGATATGCATTTTTAAAATTAATTTTTATCCTGTTTAATTCATGAAATTCTTCTCTTGAAAGCAGTTTATTATTTAAAATGTTATGTCACGAAATCATAAATAAGAAAACTAATTAGAAATATAATTGCTATCATTACTTTTACAAGTCCTCATATTGATTCGTGGATATTAAGAGGGTGGGCCATATCTTCTGAACTAATGGTTCGATTTTCTTGAAAATTTCTAGAAATGTTACCCCCTAATATGCAAATCATCACGCAAAATTTCAGAAGTTTTCGACAGAAGACGCGGGAATTATTAAATTTTAAATTGGGTGGAAAAAATCGTACCTCTACACAGAAATGTAAAGAAAAAAATCCTAAATTTTTTGCATTTCTTGACGTTGTAAGGTCCCCTGAGTGTAAAAACATAAGCCATACTTTTTCTTATAGCAGGGAAGATAAAAATAATTAATTTTAAATATAATTGTAAATTAAAACACGTAATAAACATAAAAATAGTTATTACATAAATTTCCTAGTATAAAACGGCAGAAACGTCTTAATTTCGATATTTTTTAAATAACAAAATGTAGTTTCATTCTTAAACAAGATTAAATTAAAATTAAATTATGTTTAGTTGTATTTATTATAATTAAATTAATTTTAAAAGCTATCGAGTTGCTTTAACGATGATTTATTCAAGGCTAATTGAGATCGAACTGCTTTGGTTATGATTAATTCCGAATTAAGTGATCTTTCGATTAGATTATATTATGATGGTGTCAGGACGGAAGATTTACTTAATATCCATTAATTCTTCGCTAATCAATACGACTAATTATAAAAATTACTTCCTTATTAGATAAATAACAGCTGTTACCATCGGGCACGTGTTCTACTTTTGTAGAAACAAGTATATTAAATATTTATAATTGTCATGTAGCGCAACTTCCATAAATATAAGATAATGCATTTCTGTAATCATGGATCTCGTGTATTCATAATTATTCAAACACATTTTATTAAGACAAACTTGATTGAAGATGTTATTTAAATAAGGAAGTAACATTAAGAAGAATTTTTCAAAGTTGAAATGATGGAGTTGCGAGCGCTTGTTAAATGCATTGATCTGTCACAGGTACGAAGGAAACAAAGCACTGTTTGATGTTCGTTAATTAGTTAGACGAATAAGCTCATACGATTAAGCAGAATTTAAACTGTTGAATTGACAGTTTCTATTGGAAATTTCAATGAAATTCTTGTCTTCGTGTTAGAACCGATAGTCGAGTTTGGCGTGTTATCGTCGCTTATTCCTAATTGGACGTCGATTTGAAAAAATTGTAGACCTATAAATTTCCAGTGTTCTTCCTTAATCTCAAGAACGGTGTTAGATAGATGAAATTCGAGACCAGATATTTACATATCTGGTCTCGAATTTCATCTATCTAACACCGTTCTTGAGATATGTAAATATCTGGTCTCGAATTTTATCTAGCTAATATCTTAAGCTTAGGGACAACGGGCTCTTATTAACTGTATACGAATTTCCAGTTTAGACTGGAAGTCCTGTGATTTCAATTCAAAAATTTTCTCAAAATACAGTTACACAGATGACCGGCACGACTCTATTGTTGTCAGGAAAAGTATGATGTACAGGGGTAAGATCCTATTGATTTAAAATGGAGAGCATATATTTTAAATGAAATAAATTAAAAATATAATTAAAAATTTTCGCTCATTAAAATTTCATTCAATTCACTTGTCTATTTTTCATGAACTAGTTAAACACACTTCACTTACAAATCTCAAATATTTAGTTTTGCAATAAATTATTTAGGAACCAACGCTATATTATTTGGGTTAATTCATTAGAAACGTCGCGATTGTTATTAGATTTAATGAGGTGTTTAATATTTAAGGATTATCATACTTTCGATTTAAATTTTCACTGTTTAATCGAGATTTCTGAATATAGCGAATGCAACGCAATGTAAATTCAAACAGTTATAGTTCTCTGAAGCATTAAGAATGAGGCCTACTGGAGACTTTGCAGGGAAATTTATTAGCGAGGCCCCAAAATATTTGCAAAAAAAGGGGACCGGAAAAATGACGTTTGAGCCGGTCCCGATTGAAAGCAATCAAACTAATTTGACACTCCTGTAATGATATGAGATGCGGGATTTACCGCAAAATCAATTTAAAATTTAGAATTGTTCATCCCAGTTGAAAATCTTTAGCTGTATTGATGTTTTAAAAGTACATTAGTAGTATAAGTCTTTCATAATGCGGATCTACATTTTACGGATCTTTAAAAAGCACTCTATTCATTCGTGATGTACAGTACTTTTAAGTAGCGCAGCTTTTAGTGACAATGGAGCGCTTTCTGTGAAAATTAAATACACGCTATTCATAGTTTTCAGTGTAAAGAAGTAAATAAAATACGGAAATTTTATTATCAAGCTGTTATATTTGCATTTTTTTTTCGTTTAACTTATAACTGTAGTTGTAAGTTGGCCTTTCACTTATGTTATTGTTAACTGTAAATTAAACGAAAAAAACCTTCTGTACCGGTAAAACATTTATAAAAAATATTAGTAAACACTTACCTTTCGATATTATCTAAAAAATTATAGGATAAAAAATGAAAAATATAACAGAATTTTACATTTTTTTTCCAGTAATTTACATGAACCGTTTGAGCTGGAAGTTTCCTTATAAATTACGTTAATCTTATTAAATTTTATTTATTTAGAATACGCAGAAGCTTTCAGGATAGAATTTTTATAAATAAATTTTTGTAATAAAACAAAACTAATTTGTAAAACAAGACTTTAGTCAATAGAAAAATATCGCAAATCCAATGTGTATAAATAAATAAATTCTTAAATCTGTTTTAGAGAAACAATATACTGTTGACAGGAACTAACATCTCGAAAAGAATTTTTCAAGTAATAAATATAATTTCCTTCTTCTTTTTTTTTTCTGTATGCGTAACGCTTAACTGAGATAAGGAGCAAATATATTTGACAAGCACTTTACAGGTTTTCATAATCGTTTACGCGAATGTCATTAACTTACGAATGTTTTCAACATCGATCATTTTCATATTTATTTTTCTATCTCCCATTATAAAGCGTACGGTTCACCTTTTACGTAGAATTTCGACGTCACTTTCTTCTTCTTTGCTAAATCTAAATACATTATACAAAGCGTGTTACCAAACGAATATTTCGGCTTAATACGTCATTAAGGAAATTATTCAACGTATACTTTTACATTTAATAATTCAGTCGGATAGATTTAAAAATTTAAATATCTTTCAGACGAAATTCTTAGAATTTCATGACGTTACTATGGTAACGGCGGGTATCATTTACCTTTCGTCGTCGGTCACGTGACCCAATTTAACATCTTATAATGTCGATCTTAGTGGATAAAAATTCGTGGAAAAATTGCCGTCGTACTATAAATAATCGTAGCACATATATTTTTTTTTTCTTTTCTTATTTTCTCCCCCCTTCATCCTTTTTATTTCGGAGGAAAGAAAAATTTATTTACATTAAGTTCCCTCGAGTAACAACTGATCTATAATTAATTTAGTCCGAATTCTGAATGGAATAACATCAACCATTTTGCATTGCCATGGTTACAGATTAAATAGTTTATTGCTCAACTGACTCGATTCCTCTTTAAACGTTATTTTACTTTTATTCAAACGGAATAATATAATTATTTAAGAACGTTTCAGTCATATTTTGAAAATATTTATATTTTAACAATAACGTCAATACCCATTAGTAAATTTTATATTGTTTTCTTTATCTTATATTAAATTATCTTATGTCAATATTTANAACAAATTTTTATTTAATTATTTAATTTTCTGAATATTTTTTAAAGATGGAGGAGAAATTTTAAGACAGATAAATCACTTTTACGATTATAATTTAGGGAATTTTTGGGTCGAACCGAGGGGGCGCCGTTTTGTCCACTTTGCGTAAGCCTAAATGAATATATATATATATATAAGCCTATTTTTTAATTTAATAATTAGTAAAAAATACGACAGATGGCACTAAATGAAAAACCCGGAACTAATAAGATTAATAGAAGTAATGATTCTTGTTAAATTAACCTTTATTTAATAAGCAGTTTTCTTTTGGTGGGTCCACGAACTTAATTAGTTAATTGACAATTAAGGGTTTCGAAAATTGGCTGTATTTAATTATAAATTAATTTATTTTGCATAATTAACACTTATTTATCCTTTGTAAAACTTTAAAAGATTTATCTCTGTGTTAAAATAACTTATAAAAAATTCATCAATAATCGGATATTTTCGGTCTTTTTTTCAGTTTTGTAATAAGAAGTGTAAACTAAGAATAGACTATGATTGGATCTGCTGGAAGACATGTGAGGAGGAGATCATCCTCTCCTAATCCTCTGTCACCGAGCTTCCGGAGGGCATCGACTGCAACTATAACCAGTCAGTTAGAAACTGAAGATGTTGTGTATAAGGATCCGAATGATCCTAATCTACTCACAGTGCCTGACATACCACCCGGTGTAAGGTTAAAACGTAGAAGTGCTGTGGGTCAATCTGACCATAAAAGTTGTGCCATTTTGCATAGCAAATTAAAAGGAATGAAATTAGAAGACGTAGCGTAAGTAATTATTTCATTTCCTTTAATTTAATATATAATAAAACAATTTTATTTTTATAATTCAATTATTTTACGTATGTTTTCTAAACTTTAATTAATAACTGTCAACCTTACTGAAGAGAATAATAAAAAAAAATCCCGATTTTTATATAAAATTCGAGAAATATTTGATAAAAAATAAACTTGAAATTAATTTATAAAACAAACAAGACTTTCTCGTGCATCCATGGATCATTTTTAATGTATTAGGGAACATTTTAAGAATTCACGTGGTGACTGGCAATACGACATTGACACTTTCGTTCTGTTTTTTTCTTCTATTCTGATGTCATTGTCCTACAAAACTGTTTTCGACCGCGAATCCCGACCACCTAGAGGGTTGCTACGTGGCCCTCAGGGGGTCAAGAAAGGAAGACTACTTTCAAACTTTTACCATAAACTATAAATGAACACTAAAATGAAAGTATACGCATTTAGGAAATTTATACGATGCTGGGAGGTAGAACAATGAAAAACTTCGAAATGCTTTAGAAATCTGTTATATTCCACAACAAAACTTTTACATTATACGAATATCCTTTTATATAACTTCGTATATTAAACACGTAAACGTATTTGTAATCATTTTATAAATCGTTTTTAATTATTACACTGTTAAAGAATCGTAGATTATATTTATTAAATTATTCACAAAATAAATGAATATACTTGGAGGCTTCTTAATACGATTTGTTGCCTCACTGGTTGTGTCGATTCCCTCCCCTCGATATAACAAATCGAGTTATATCGAGGGAAAGGAATCTCGACACAAAATAAAAGACTTTAAGCACACAAATAAATATACTTTTATTTATTTTATTTCTGAGCATTTTATATTTTTACAAACTTCTGTAGTCGTGTATTGAAACGGAATACTTCTTATAATACTTTCTACCCCAGCAGAAAAAAATATTAAATTGAAATATCTATAAGGTGAGGAGGAGGTTTGTCATATAATTTATAAAATTTAAAATTATTATCCTTTATTTTAAGCTTTTCATTTATGAATTGATAAAATTCCGTGTCATCTCCGCATCATTTGATTCGATGGACGAATTATCAATTATAAATGATGCTATAACGAAAGGAAGAATAAGTCATAAAGTATATTTAATGAAAGATATTAGAGGAAAAAAATTTACTAGATCTATCAATTTTATTTATTCATATAGACTAGATCAATTAAATTAATTTGAAAATTTGGCATTTCTAACCGACGATCAATAAGAAAATTTATTCGTGATCATCGTATACGTTACAATATTTATACAAATTTATATATAATAGTATTTGTTAGATTAATTTTAAAAGAAAAAAATATATAATTTAGGGTTTAATTTAAGTTTCTCTTATGTTTCTAGCTTATGGTTATTCGAAATTTCTCAATGATTTAATAATTATTGAGAAATTTCGCTTAGAATAATTTGAGATTTAAAATAATAATATGATTTTAATTTTAAAAAAATTATAAAAGGATTAAAAATATATATATATATTGCTAAAATTAATGACTTTTCACCTAGATTTATATTAGAAAACGTTGAATATTGTGGATAAAACCACTAAACACTAATCGTTGATTCGCGCCTGGTCAAGAGGTTGGCCACGTGTAGTTTTACGGGTTTCTTCACGTTAGTAACACATCTAAATGGGGCCAGTTTCTCATAGAAAGTCCTCCCTGGAGGTACGAGTCGCGCTGCCGTAAACAAGTAAACTAAACCATAATGAATATTACATGGATGCTGACAGATTCTTTAGATTTATACTTATATTCTTTTAGACTGGATTATTGCAGTTCTTTTTAATTACTCTAATTAACGTAGAAATTTTTCAATTCTAATTAGAATAACGCTAATTAAGAAGACTGGCAAAAATTATAATGATGAGAATTTTTCTTTGTCATTAGAATTTTTAGTTAATATTTCTTGCAAATCTTCTAATTTGCTTATGATAATTTACTTTTTGTCATTTTATTAAAAATGAGATATGGAAGCAAGAAATATCTTTATTTTTTCCATAATATAAAAAGCTCTGGTGAACAATCAACTGACTACTAAACGCCTTTTAAGATCGTACAGTCTCTTATTTATCTATGCAGGGATTAAATTTATACGAGATACTAATTTAAAACTAAGTGTCATCCTTCGAAAGTATATTTGCTTATGCAGTAATATTCTCTGCTATTGGAGATGGACGTATTCCATACTGCATGGGTGTTTGTAAGCTCTTTCTATCCACTCTCCAACAATTAACTGCTGTATAGAACCAAAGACTTACTTCTATTGCTTTAATTTGTAAAATCTTACGAGTTGTTGTGTATCACCCTGTGTTAGACGTCGAGTAATACAATTCTCGCTATATTTGTTTATGTTTATACACAGTTATCTCTCTGTTTGTGTACAAATGACCATACCAAAGAGAAATAACGCTTAAAAGTCTGAAATATGCGCTCGATTTAACACCATTTTTACACTTTTATATTATAAAAATTAGCGAGTTAAATCTTATTATCCCCCTTGTAATATAACCTAACTCAATTGTATCTGTAATATGATTATTAAGTGAATTCAATATTAAAAGTATACAATTTCGAAAGTTAAATACATAAATATCCTTTAATTTTATGGTTAAAGTATTATAATCTTTATTAATTATAATGTGTTATACTTACAAATTCCGATTTTCGAACACGAGAATTTATTATCTAATAAATTTGAATATATATATATATTTCGCTTCGTTTATTGACAAAATTTTGGTATATTGTTTATGAAAAACAAATTTAATAATTTGTACTTACGTATTTTCAAATGAAACTCGCTTTATTTAACGTATTCTGCCGTAAAAAAAGCACTTTGAAATGTACTTTCAAAGCCATTTTCACCTGCAAAATTTCATCTCGGATCATTAAACCCGCATCTTCTCAGAATTTCGAGATAATTTAGAAACGTTTGTAAATTGTTTCCTCGGCATTAAAAGTCTGAATTATTATGGAATGGTCTAGATACGTTGGTTGAGCATTTGTAAGAAAGTAGGAAGATGTATACAGTAGATTTATTGTGCCTTAAGGTTCTCATCCCATCACATGTCTATATTTACATACGCTTTTTTAAATTAAATTACATTTAGATAATATTCAAGCTATTTTAAATTTGAAAGTCGCATTTAATATTCAGTTTTATTTTCCTCAGTTACAAATATATATATATATACAAAAATAAATTGATTTGGGACTCTTTGTTGGTGGTGGCCCCAGGTAAGCGCCCTTTCTGCCCGTTGGATAACGTGTCACTGTATAGATGTATAGTTTTTAATTTTTATGATTATAGTATACTTAAACCATTTGAAAGTAAGATAGGGGGTCCCATTACTGCCCACGAATGTGGACTATTATTTTGACCAATTTCAATTATTTTCTTTTAAGAAATGACAAGATATCACCTAGTCTAGGCGATTTCTTGGTGTCACTAGTCCAAACTTGGTGTGCCCCTTGGGAGTAATGGAGCCCTCACCTTATTTGGAATGAAATTAATAAATTTCTAATACATTTCGATAAACGATTATATTTTAAAATAAATTTAAAAGTTTTAAATTTATTAATTTTGAACAAGAATTGTCTAATTGATTAAAACAATTTATAATTCATATTTATTATTTTAATAAAATTTTAAATTAATTAAAGATCTTTTAATTTATATATATAAAATTTTTATTCGTTAATTATAAATTAATGCGATGAATGAGTTAAACTATTCTTAACTTTCTACCGTCAATGAATGGAAGATCAATTCGAAGAATGTTTTAAATGTTGAAATTCTGTTAAATAAATAATATTTTATTCGTCTTAATTTGATATAATTAAATCTATTAATGGAATAATTCATTTTTTGGGCTGCAATCTGAAAAAATTCTAGACCTATATATTTTTCCATTGTCACTGTCTCTCCTTCTTTAATCTCAAGAACGGTGTTAGATAGATAAAAATCGAGACCAGATATGGAAAGCTTAGGGGCAGAGGATCTCTATTAATCATACATAAACTTCCGGTCTAGATCGGAAGTCACGTGATTTCAATTCAAAAATTTTTTCTCTGAACGGAGCTGACCGGCATGGCTCTGTTGTTATCGGGGAAAGTATGATTTACAGGGGAAAAACTATTAATTTGAGATGGAGAGCTTATATTTTAAATGAAATAAATTAAAAATATGATTAAAAATTGCAACCTGGCATTATGACCATATCACAATAATTTTTACACGTTATAAATAATGTATAAGAAATAATATATCACTTTTATTATGATGTACTGATGTGCTTATTATAAATTTACTGACTGATAATGTGGTTTTGCCACTTGCAAATCTTTAGCAAGCTCACACAATTTGCAAGTAGAAAGACTTCATTATTAATAAATATGTATTATTTATATTACTCACATTTTAATTTTTTATACGTATCGAGGGAATTTCATGTTTAATTAACTATAGTGACTCGCATACTATATATATATACATAATGGTAATAAATATAATAGATAATTATTTCAAGCATCATTATTACGCAAAGGAGTGAAATTTATTCTACATAATAATTGAATAGTCTATTATTTTCCAAATATATTAATATATTTACTTTACGTCAACTATCTATTCATTTATTTTACATTTTATGCCTGTAAAAACAGTCAATACAGTCCACGTCATGCAATGTAATTGTAATATGTTCAGATGTTCATTATATTTCATTATATCTTATTAAACTATGAATGTTTAAATTATTGGATGAGCATTTAAAATACTATTTAAAATAAATATATCTACGTTAAAATTGAAAAAACTGCTTAATTATATTAAACAGAAAATTTTCTGTATTTTAATTATTAATTTTAATTAACTTCTGTACAACAAATGAATCAAATGACAGTACTTCTTAGTAATATTTACTATTGCCTACAGGTTTAT